ATGTATCATTGTATTTCTCCATTGAAGGACGACCATAAGCAATTTATCCAATATAATTTCTCTTTCATTTCTTCATTACTAAAAGGAACAAAGGGAAGTTTACTCACTTTAATCACTCTTTATATGTGAGTGATGTGATTCATGCAAAATGTTGGATGTGAAGGCAATTCACAATAGAGGATAAATTAAGACAATCCCAATATTACGTCACACTTTTCTCAAAGTGTTCGGCCACAAATTTCCAATTATAGAATCAAGTTGCAATTCTATCAATATTTTTCTCTTTTTCCTCTTTCTTTAATTCTTTCCGCTGCGTGTTAGCATAAAAAAATCAGTTATATGTGTACAGACATATTGAATTATGTAAAATCTACACCGTACACCTTTTTTTTTTGGCATTTTTTAATTCTCATGTATTAATGATAAAGGAAAGAGAAATTGAAAATAAGCTTTAAAAAAAAGGAAGAATAAGAAAAAGGGTGGAAATTTAAAAAAAATGAAAGAAGAAGAAGAAGACGACACAAATCCAGATTCTTTTTTCCCTTTTGTTTCTCTTTTCTTCTTTTCTTTGGCCTCTCCTAAATTGTTGCTTTCTCATTCACTTGTTAGTCTTTCTACTTTCTACTTTCTGCTCTCTTCCTTCCTTCCTTCCTTTTTGGAATATATCACATCTAGAGTACTGGGACTATACACTTTTGGCTACCACTGACCAATCTTTGTCATTTGAAACAATTAAAATAAGTATATTTAATTCATGTTGCATCTATTTTGCACCACCAATTTAATTTACTAGTGAGTCTTTGGGGAACCTCGAATTTACCGATAGCTGTCAAGTCAAAGGTCAGCAAGCACATTTCGATACTGAATACAACTAATCTTCTTGCTAATTAGGCTACGTAAGCATTTCCGAAGGCAAATATTTCTAAGACCGAAAATAATATCTTAGTGAATCCACTTGCTAGACTCTTTTTAATCATTTTTATATCAACTTGATCTTTTAGAGGACATATATATTACTAATGTGTATCAGATAATTATTGTGTCGATTCTGATTACGATACTTACTTTTCTCCTTGTACGTTTATTTATATGATTCACTTCTTTAATATATAGGCGCTATATTTTTTTATTTTCTAGCAAATTCTTGGAGAAGAATCCCGGAAGCTGAAGAGTAAGCTGCATTTTGAGTTGGAGGAGGTTTTCTCCTGAAGACTGAGTCCAAAGGCAAATCTGTTGCTGAAGGGATAAGTTAGAAAAATGACCTTTCAAACAAATGAAAGCCACTTATGTCTTACTGATACTACACTCACTTGTACCAACACACGGTTTTGACAGTTAATACCATCTCCAACTGCCCGCCCTTTGCAAGATATGAGAAAGCTTTTCAGTTCACCACGGAAACGTGTGGAACACGTGGCACAATTTTAGTACTATGGCACCAACCAAGAAACTATGTCCATCTCCAAGGAGTCGTAGGGATTATTGGCATTTGGCTACGGATAACAATTTTATTTGTTTTTGAAAATTCTTCTATATTTGTTGACAGTAATAAGTTATGCTATTGTTTTTTCTTTCACTTTATACGACATTGTCACTTTTTGATCAGTCAAAAATTCTTTCTTATAATATAATTTTAAAATGTTTCTAAAGAAAAAAAAAAGATGTGGCTTATAATTATTGTATGTTATTTGAATGAAACTAAAATTTGACTTTGACAGTTAATCGAAACCCCTTCATTATTTTTGAACGGGGGAACTATTACATTTATAGATTTCAGAATTTGAACTCATTTATTTAACAACAATAACAATCTTAGTGTAATCAAGTGGAGTCCGAGAAAAATAATGGGTACATGATGACGTCCAAATCCACTACTAAAAAGTAAATGGACACGGTCGCATGCAATATAATTTACCCAACTATGAGTCGGGGTCGAATCCCACAGAGAACAATATGTAGGCGATTAGGAATGTAAGAGAATTATCACTTGTTATGCAATGCCAAACACTTAGAATTGGTTTTAGAAAATATTTCTACCTAAATGCGGAAATGTAAACTAACCTAGAAAGCAAGTAAAATGATCAATGGCTACAAGTATGGATCCATCGGGAATTACACTCAAGTAACTATCCAATGTATTTCACGATTTTACAAATATGAGCGAGTTTATGTTAATTAGCCACGGATAATAATTCTTAATTAGCTTCTTCCAAAGACTAACAAGACTTCCTAATTGAATTATCCCTAAAACAAGTAGGAGACTAAGTACACCCGGATATGGCTACAAGTAGTTCAATCCTATCCCTAGGTAGAATCTATAAAATGAGGGTTAACGCCTCAAGTTCTTGTTAATTAATCTTTCCCAACCCCAAATTATCTTTTCCAAAATTAATTCGGAGTAAATGGGTGAGTCTTAGGGTTAGCTAATCCCTTTGAAAACATTAAAGAACAAGAATAATTAAAGTAACAATAACTCACTTCATAAAAGGATAAAATTCATTCAATACATAAGCACAACAAGGTTTTTAATCCACACTTTAAATATGAATATTTCCATAAACAAGATTCAAGTGTTGGAAATAAATACTACACACTTAAATATTCAATACAAAGCAAGGAAATGAAGAAATAAACATAAATGGGTAAGAAATCCTTAACCACAAGCTTGAAATCTTCAAAACCCAAGTGTGTGTGCAAACCCTAGCTTCCAACCTTGTTCTCTCTAGTGTTTGGAACTGAAAATAAGCCAAAAGATTCCCCACAAATGAGCTAAGTCGGGTGTTAAATGGTTTGGGGACAAAAAATATGAAATTCCAGAATTGCCCAGGTCTGATGCTCGATTTTCGCATTTGCGAACATAAGTTCGCAATTGCGAACTATGCATATACTGTGCACTTTCGCATTTGCGAAGAGGACTTCGCATTTGCGAAGGTTGACTCCCCTGGTTGACTTCGCATTTGCGAAGTCTTTTTCGCATTTGCGATGACTGCCTAAATCATCTTCCTTCGCAATTCCCATGCTTTCCTCGCAATACCAAAGACTGTATTCTTCGCAATTCCCAGGAGTATGTCGCAATTGCGACAACTGAAGCCCCTTCCCAGATTTTCTTCTTTTTAGCTTCTTTTTGACTTGTTTCACTTGGTTTCTTCAACATCACTTCTAAATCATATAGAACCTGTAATATAGAAGTAAATGGCATTAAACGCGTGATTTTATCACTCACACATAGCAAAAATATAGGTTTAAAGCCAAGATAAGTTGGTAAAATACCAACTTATCAAACCCCCAAACTTAAACTATTGCTTGTCCTCAAGCAATGAAAGCGACAAAATCTCTTCCCAAGTATTTAACTCAACATTGTATCCTTATCATGCCAAGCCAAAAAGGTCTACTATAAGCACAAAACATGACTTCGATTGGTACCAACAATTAAACCAATGCATGTGAATTGCCGAACACTTTTCATGAACTTCTTACATTTCAAATGCCCAAGCACTATGCAAATCAAAGTAGCAAATCAAGTCATGACACTAAAGCTTCAAAATTTGTTTCTCTATCACAATTATCTTTCTTTGGTCATTTCTTCCAATTAAAAATGGGATTAAATTCATAACTTAAATTTCATATGCCCTCACATTTAAGAGAGGATCCCACACTCATAAATCTTAATTCAAAACAAAAAATGGGATATCAAATGGAAAGAATTAACTCTCTCTCAAAAATATGTTCAAATGCATACAAGTAGTACCATAGGCTTGCCCTTCACGTATTCCTCCACTAATGTAGACAACTTGGTTCAAAATCAATTAGGACTTAAAGGGTTGTAGTTTAGGCTTTTGGTTAAGGTAGGGCACAATTTTGGTTAGAGTGACTCAAAACCTCCCCAAGCACTACATTTACAATTAAAGTCCACTTCCTTCAAAAGCATTCTCCATCCTTTCTTCACTTTTCATTCCACACCTAATCTTCCCTTTATTCACAACTTCTTATCATTTTATTCCTGGTTTTTTTTCTTTTCTTCCTTCATCTTCAAAATCAAGGAAGGTTTCATTTTTTTTTCATCATTCATATATTTTTTTTCTCTACCTTCCACCTTTTAAACAACTTCCATATCACAACTTTTCCAACCTTCACCCCCAAACTTAGGCTTTTAGCCTATGTTTACACTTTTCAAAGTACTTGGGGAGGTAGGGTGCCAAAAGCTAGATCAATGAAGAACAAAGGATTAAAGCTTGTAACATGGTTGCCAAAGAACAAAGTTAAAGGCTCAAAATGGGTTGACTAGGGAAAATATTCAAGGGTAGGAAATTTAAGGCACAATGGCGGTCCAAGGAAGGCCTAATATCATTTTTCAAACCAAGTTAGTCTATGATTTCTGTTGGTGTCCAAATTTTGCCCGGGAGTCGGAGTGTTCCATGGGCAGCTGAGAAGAGAGAAATCATCAAAAGAGTTCACGCCGAAGCAAAGATATGGCTGGCCCATCATAATGCAGTCGTATCTCGCCTGTGTCAAACATATGGAATGTACCGGTTACAAGAGCTCAAATGAATAGGCGCTGCATTCCTTGATGGTATTCAGCTGAATTTTGTGAAATGTTCTCAATGAATTGAGGGAGCATGTCATCCAGAATAGTGCAGTCATTGATATTCCCCTCACTTACATACGAGTTGTCAACTTGCGGGCTGTGGAAGAAGCTCCGGGAGACAACTGGATAGAGCCGGGACAGCCTCTAAACCCATTGAAGAAAAGAGGAGATGGCGGTGCTGTGAAGAGCAAAAAGAGAAAGCTGGTGCCTTCTTCTCAGGGTTGATCAGAAAGTAGTCAGCCATCCTCTTCTGCAGGAGGACCATTTGCTGTGTTAGTGAGGGAGATGCGGTAATCCGCGAGCTAGTAGCTGGCCTTCTAACAGGGACCTGGGGAAACATCTGAGGGACCCGCGTACATTTCCAAGAAAGAGTTTCAAAAGTACCTTGAGGATCAGAGGAAGCAGGGGATCACCTCTAAGACGCTGGAGAAGGCATAGCACTGAGTTGGCCAAGGCACATGGTGAGTTGAGCATTTCTCATGGCACTCTGGAAAAGGCACACACCCAGATGAAGAAAGAGACAAATTCTTTACTCGCATGTGGAAGGGTGTAAAGGGGCTGTGTAAAGTCCTAAAGCCTCAAGACCCAATTCCATCGACCAGGCCGGTAGATGATGATGATTTTCCTGTTCATGGGTCGCGGGAAAGAAGGAGAGGAGGATGCCTCCGAGTCAGACAGCAAGAGAGCACCTGAGGCAGTATTCAGTGAGCACCTTCCACCATTTTACTCTAATCATGTTTAGTTGCATTGGGGACAACACATGATTTTAGTTTGCGTGACTTCTTGTGATAACTGTTGTTCTTGTATAAATGTGGATAACTGCGGAGATTGGTACTTCTGGTTTGTGTCCTTTTTTCTTTTTTGTTATTATATTTTCATGTTGATGGTGATATCTATTCGTATTTATTAGCTTCTTGATTTTGTTGTTAGCTCTGCTTCAATTTTTCTATATAGGTAGTTTATGTAGTGCGTAATCCTTGTTTCTTTGTACCATACGGTTCTTTTTCCAAGGACTGCCAATTCATTCTTGAACCGGGCAATTGCTAGTAAATTTTGGCGACTTTTCCCGATGATGAAAGATACGAAACTTCTTAAGGAATTAGTCTTGTTAGTTAGATATAGCTATGGTTAAATATTATGAAGAATAATATTTTGGGTTGGAGGTGGCGCCATGTGACCCAGTTGTGGCTTGCTTTGGTTACTCAACAGGATTTAAACTTTCGGCATTATGGAATTTTTGGTTGTTTGAAAGAAAAATAAACTGAGTAGAGATGCATGAACTTTTAGACTCAAATTTGGCTCTTGTCATTCACACTAAAAGCTTCCTATGCTATATGTACATCTTTGAGTCATTATTCTCTTCAATTGGATTTTGGATTTGTATCCACTTTGAGTGTTTAGTCGCATGTGTCGTGAGACTATTATTGTGAGTTCTTTTGCATTACTTGTAGGTTCTAGAACTTGCGGTGAATGTGCTCAAGGCAAAATTACCTT